ATGCGCAATAATTCAATTCGATTGTAAAATCAATTGCCTGTGCACAAGGTGCATTCAGCTGGTGTTAGTGAGTACAGCTTGTGCGGATGCTCAAGGGTGAATGGCTGCGTGGCGTGCAAGGGTGTTTGTGTGTGTGCTTGTGCACCACTGAGTGGGCTTCGATGCCTGTGCCACCAGTGAGCAAGCTTTTAATGCAAGCACTCTTTTAATTCAACAATACTTAAGGTCAATATTGCATTTGTAATGCAATTACAAAAGTATATAACAAAACAAGTGGTGGTTAGGCGAGTCAACCTAGGTGGCGAAGTTCGTTGCATATTCGTATACAACACAAGTGGTCAACTGTCCAGTTTAATTCAATAAAGCTTCAATCACTACCTATTGAGATCCAGGCTTTATTGCTTCAAATCTTCAGTGTTCAAAACCTTCTGCAATATGCTGCGTTTGGAAACTCCCATTCTGGTATTATCCAAGTATAAGCGATTCTACCCTGATGAGTATCAATGGGTGGATCTAGCTCTTTACATTCGTGTTTATAATTCGCATACTGTTCATATTGTTCAGTATTATTTAATGATTATCGAAAAAAATTTATCCGAATTGTCCTAGTTGCCTTATGTTTGGTATTTGATATGAAATCGATATTTCAATATTTCAAAAAATGAAGATGAGAAAGAACTCTCTAAAAGTATTCATATATGTATGTGTGTGAAAATATTTGAAGTCTCGAAATATTTATCAAGCTATCAGTCAATTATATTAAAATCGATCCACAACTCGGCTCCGCCCAAAATATATATTGTGTGGATCACGGAAATTAATTCATCAGCCAAACTTGGAACTAACATTCGACGCATATAATCATTACTATATCATGATATTAGAGTTAAGCCGTTAAAGCCTTCAGCCTTTTTAAGATTTTGTTTTACTTACACTGATACTAAACGCCGAATTAAAATCATTCCCTTTCTTTGATGAGACTTTTTGACATCATTCCCTTTACTTTGTTGGGTGCATTTTCCTGACGTTCGTCATAACGGTTTAATACATTTTGCATTTTCCTCTCTTTGTAGAACGCTCTGGTCACGTCCCATCCCTCTGGGCTGGTATTTCAATAAGCAATGGGAGCGCAAGCACGGACTGCGTTGGCCTGAGGCGCTGTGTGAGAATTGGGTACGAAATGACCGCTATTTGAGGTAAGCATTGGAGAACATTATTTGTTGATTTTTAAGCGTTCGCCACTATGCCAGCAAAATATAATTGCTAGTTGGAGTGTCGAAAGACAAAGGAAATGATACTGTATTTTCGTAYGTTACAGGCTTTCGAGATTTTAGAAATAATAAGAACTCATATATTAATTTCAGAACGTTCACTGGGGACTTRCCGCTTTGTCCGTGCACGCTGGAGCAGGCCGTTTATGACAAAGGACGGTATCGACCAGATAAGGAATGTGACAAGGACTCAAATCCGACATGTTTGCGGCACAAAAACGCTATACATTGCGTCGTCAGTGGTAATCCGGTGTAAGCTCACATTCACATACWTACTGACATACACAGAAAAACAAGRAAAGAATKATTTGAACTTTCTTTTCTTACAGTGCGGAAGGCGCCGAACAACAGTGTTGCTACGATCGCTATGGCTTCCTAATGTTAACACAGGATCAAGTGTGGGGCTCCCGCCCACGACGTAATCATAATCTTGGTAAAATGCCTTGGAATGAGGCTGGAAAGGTGCCAACGCTTTCTAATTGGTTCCACGACATGCGTCCATGGTACTCCTGTTGTCATTGGCAGAAGGAGCAGTCTGTGAATTGCGAAACTTTCCGCTTTGAACGTCGACCCACACAAGACTGTGTTGGCTATCAGGCGCCTGGTGTATCTGGAGTCTTCGGTGATCCACACTTCATTACTTTTGATGGCACGCAATATACTTTTAATGGCTTAGGCGAGTTTGTCTTGTCGCGTAGTGTGGCCGCTGATCGCCGCTTCGAGGTGCAGGGTCGTTTTGAACAGGTGCCCAAAAACCAATATGGCCCTGTGATGGCTACTCAGTTGACCGCTCTGGCGATGCGTGGCAATACGACAACAACAATTGAAGTGCGTCTGCGGCCGAAATTTGCTCGTTGGCGCTATGCCCTGGATGTGTTGGCCGATGGGCGGCGTATTTATTTCGATCGGGAGAGCATGCGGTTTCAGCATTTTGATGGTGTCACCGTTTACACACCCACTTATCTCCTCAATCAATCCCAAGTTGTCGTCATGTTCGATTCAGGCGTAGGTGTGGAAGTTGTTGAGAATGAAGGTTTCATGACGGGTCGAGTCTATTTGCCGTGGGATTTCATTGTGAGTACATGTTTGATATWTAGAAGTTACGTCTTCTATAAAAATATTATTCGCTCATTTTAGAATAAAACAGCAGGATTGTTCGGCAATTGGTCATTCAATGCGTTGGATGACTTTGCGTTACCCGACGGTACAGTGGCCAACTTGAATCTGAACAATTTCCAGCAGATTTACTATRATTTCGGTCTGAAGTGGATGTTGGCTGATCGCAATATTCCGGGTGTAGGAACKGCTCTATTCTCACGTGAAAATGGACGAACTGCMAGCTATTATTCGAATGCTTCATTTGTGCCGAACTTTGTGAAAGAGCCGCAGGACTTCTTGCCCTCGAACCGATCGTATGACGTGGAGCGTGCGGAGGAGTTATGTGGCGAAAGTTATCAGTGTCGCTATGACTACGGCATGACCTTGAATACGGATATGGCGCATTTCACTAAGAACTATTACGACAGTTTAGTGAACATAAGGAATTTAAATTCGAAGTAAGCTCCACAGTCTTTATTTCATTACTTTTCGRAGGGAGGTTAGACGAGTTTTKGATTTAACGTTTCAACACTTTGCAGGCGCGTAGTTTCGTGTGGAGTTCTGGAGACTCCTCGATTTGGACGCAAGTTGAGTTTTGACTTCATGCCAGGCGCCAAGATTGCGTTCGAGTGTAATGAGGGCTTCGTGCTGATGGGCGATCAGCGTCGTGAGTGCATGGCCAACGGCCTTTGGAATGTTCCTGAGTACGGTTACACTTACTGTTTGCGTGAGTATTCTTTCCAAATTCCTTTTAAAAATATTGCCAACCCATTGGTAGACTTTGTAATATTTTATATGAACTTTCTTTGCAATCGGCTCTTGGGTCCAATATAAACATATAAACAACTTCACTTTCAACAGGTGAGGTATTCTATACACGTCGCATTGCATTTATTGCCATCGCCATTATTGTGTGCGTCATATGTCCGCTGATGATATGCATTGTTTGCGGAATTTACCGGTTCCGTCAAAAACAACTCAAGGAAGATCCCGCTTGGCAGATGACCATACCACGTTCACGTGCTTCGTCACGTTCCAACTTGCGTCAGCTGAGTGGACCGGACGACGATAGTGATACGGATGCAACAGGCACACTTAAGAAAAGTAGGTCATATGATAAAGTTTATCGAACGAATGAACCACTACCGGGCAAACCCCGTATTGACTTTCCAGCTAAGAAATGGGATCTGGATGACGAGGATGTGACTTCATCCGAAGGTAGTGAAAATAAAGATACAAAAGTAGCTAGCGATATTGAATACGTTAATAAAACAGGTGACAAGCCGCGCCAGATGGGCAGACGGTCGTTGCGCACTAATTCGGGCACCGACCACGATCTACACGAAGAGGACGGCACAGCCATAGATGAACCGGCCCAAGCCCACGTGCAGGGACAGGCCCCCGATGTGACGGATACAGCGAACCGAGCCGCCTATAATCAGCCACCATCACCCGAGACAGATGAAGAGCCACAGCATAGCAGCACCTTGCATCAGCAATACAGCCCGACATTTAGTGGCGCCGATAGTCGCAACAGTTCCATGAATTACCAACCGAATGCAGCAGCACAGAATCGCTTTGGCGGAGTACCGGTCTTACCCAATAACACACAGTTCTTTAATCGCCCGCCATCGAATATACCGACGGGTGCAACCTCGTTGCCGATACGTCAAGCGCCGAYTGCAGCGCCGATAACGAATACGGCCCTGCCACTGACGCAAGATAATGGCTTACCGTCGCCTCCATATGCCGCCTCACCAACACCATCGGTGCAGCGTTCGACCGAGGTTTGAAAGTCTCAAAAACAGAATTGAAAAAGACGAAAATAAATCGTCGTTTGAGAAAATTTTAATCAAGAAGTTCATGCATCTACAAAATAGTAATTATGATCAACTACTAACAGATCATCCTATCCTATCGTCGTTCGCATTTAAAAACAGCATACGAGCAAATAACTGTAGTTATTACCAATACATTCTAACCTTAATTTGGATACATTCTGCTTAACTAACAGCCAAGTTCAAATCGCACTCATTCACTCATCTATCCGCCTCATTGAAAACCTGTATATGCCGAATAAGTACTGTGGTATATATATAATATTATATAAAAAAGTTATTTGCACTTTGATTTAATTGTAATAATTAAAAAATTAAAAATAATTAACAACCTTAAATATAATGTGTACAGACTACTCATAACCTCAAATAAAAACCATAAAACAAATTTCACATTAAGAAACCAACATAACCGCCATATGTTCCAAGTGTTCAGAGTTGTTTGTAAATCGTCCATTTCCGTTTGATAAACCTACCTTTTATATATATATTMTGAGGAAATAAATAGTTAAGTTATTAATACGAGCCTGGTTTCAATTTTCAATCAATGCTTTTGTTTATTCTTCTTCTTTACTGGMGTAGAAACCACTTAGCGGTTATAGTCGAGTTACTTGGGTTTTGTACGATGAAATTATGGTAAGATGTCATTCTGTTGAACCCGAAGTTATCGAGTCTTACTAAGGYCATTTTATTTTAGACACTTCTTTCTTAGCTAACATGTGGAACACTCTAATTTCAAAAGCACAATTTTCCTGTGTTTTTTGTTGAATTTTGCCCTTTATTTTTTTATATTATTTTTATTGGAGTTTTGTTTTCTCAAGAATAAAGTTTATTACATTTTTCATTTACAATAATTCCTTATTAATACATTCTCAGCTGCAACACTGCGTGTTCTGCTCTTACAATATTCATTCCCTAGAGTTGAAACTTTATTTGTTTCTCTTGTTTCCCATGCTTATGCAACTACAGTAAATTCAATACACTTAGTTGGTAATATTTAAAATTCATATTTTCCAGTTTTTGTGTGGAGCCTGGTATTTGCAATTGTTGAAATAACACGAAAGTTGTCAGTAGCAGTTCAGCGGGAAGCAGGACTCGGAGTATAGACAAGCGGAAAGCTCTAAGCAATTAAGACTGCGACAAACTTATCAAAAACTTAAATGAAACGCTTAGAAAGTTCCCTCAATAATTAGGAGAGGGTAAAATGAGTTACATATAATTTACCGCTGCGTGAGAGAATAATTATTTTAAGCAAGGAGTTCTGTTAACACTCAACGCCAGCTGCGACTTGCGGATGCGATGAGAGGTCGACACTTTTGGGGTTACCCGAATATATTAAGAATGTGGATAGAGTTAATAAAAAGTATAAAAACTGCTTGATCCAAAATGCATTTTGAGAAAAACCATTTCTCTTTAACTGAACGTGGTTGAGTGGTCCAAGCATACTCRTTTCCACAGCTGAACTGATCCTTATTTTTGAATTTTTTTTTTAACAAAGTGCCAATGCATCTATTTCCCTCTACTGTCCGAATTTTTAAATCAACATTTTTGCGGGTTTCTTGAATGCTTATAACAGCAGGGAGAAAGCATCAGAAATTTCTAAAGAAAATTTTTATTGTAATAATTGTCGCACGGAAATTATTTAAGAATGAAACTGACATAAATCTGCGGCCCTCGTTAATATTATATTTGCCATGCTTACATAGAGTTTATTGTTAAATATTTGTATGTAACTGCATACATACATTGTGTGTTGTGTGTCTGTGTGTGTGAGAGCTAAGTTCGAGTAACTGAGTGAGTGTTTAAGTGACAGCTTAAATACCTATAAAGCTATTTTCATCAGTTGACAAACTTCTTTATATTTCTTTATTAAAGAATTATGTCATACGCTTGTACATATGTACGTACATATATAGTAYATAAGTTAGCAGTTGTGTACATTTAAATAGCCTAAAACATTTTACACATTCATTTTCAATTTTTTATATCTGCGTCCAAGTGTGTGTGTGCGCCAAACGATCAATATTAGCTGTTAGAACTGCTTAAGTTGCCTAGAACTAAGTATTTACTTCCGAACTCACGCATTTACACACAAGCCGGAACTTTCTATTTGCAATATGTGTAGGTTTTCAGTTGTAATATATTTATCTCAGTTTTATTAAACAAATACGTATTGTAACACCTTGTGTACTCCGTTGCTCACGCTCGTTTTACGTGCCTAATAGCGAATGCGTGAGTTTTTGGTGCGCTTTAGTGTCCTCAAGTGGGTTAGTGTTTCTGAGAGTTTTCTATTACAATAAACATTTTTTTAATATTATATTTTTTTATTTTTTTAGTTTCTTCCTCATAGAGCAGTTTTAATTAGAATATTTGCTTTAATAGATTGCGTTTGGAAAAGGTTTACAATTACCTACATATCATATACATATATATGTATAAACGAGTGTTTCTTGGCTTATAGTTTATCTACTGAGTTTGCTTAGAACTACATGTTAGTTAAAGACTCTTCAAATCTACTATTTATGCGATTTAAATATCCTTTGTGCTGGTTAGCTCTTTGTTATGAAGAAACCTTTTGGAACAGATATCATATCCGTTGTGTTTAGACAAAGAAACATGGGGCATGAGGGWAACTCATGAGAGGATTAACAAAGTTGACTATTAATTTATGTAACAAATAATATTAATGACTCATCTATACATAAAATCGTGCTTTTATTTTCTCCTGAACTCACTTTAGAAGGCAGTTGGCTGTAAGTGTTTACAATAACAGTACATTATGCTAGGTTCGCGTATATAAATGTGTTTTTGTAACTATTGAACAAACATAAGGGAACTCTTTAACATATTTATTCTTTTTAGAAATCACCTTAAGAGTAATGTCTATGGTTTTCCTTCTGGTAGCTCCCATGTGCGACGATTCGAACCTAAAGTACCAGAGTAAGATGAGAGAGTTGTAAGGWGGAAAAGTGTAAGGTGGCATCCACGACGTCTGTAAATAAAAGGAAAGAASAAATAAAAATTGAATTGAGAATTATATTATATGTATAATAAATATATACTATAGTTCATAAACACTATTGTTGTAAAACAACATTGATTATTTGGTTAAAAGTAAATAATAAAAATAACACTTCAATTCTTTCATATACAAAATCTTCGAGCGAAGTTCAGGTGACTGAAGTTCGTTTCTTATGTGGTTACAAGCATCATTTCTCGAATTGCTTACCCATTATTTATATTGAAGCTATAGTCAAATAGTTACTTATTAGCTCTTCCAACTAATAATAGAAATAAACTCTATTAGAACATKTCATAACTTTTCTGTTATGAACTCCTCTACCAAACATATTCTTGACTACACAATTTTGAAGAATATATAAAAAGTATAATTTCCTTTGGGTCAGGATCCGGTAAAGGCATTTCACCAGATATTCTATGCCGGTACAATACATACATATGTCTACAGTATAAACTATTGAGAAAACAATTTGTGACATTTTCATATTTCGTATTCGTAATGCCGGTATTACCGAATGTGAAGAAAATAAAAAAAATTATCTTGATACAAGTTTTTTGCCGGGCGTAAATCACATTCGTGACGGACATAGTCATCCCATTCATGTTGAAATTCTTAGGAGGTCGAAGCAGCAGTCAGAACATGTTTATTTCTTTTCAAAAAATTTCAGAACTTCTTTGTTAATAGTGTATGTTTGTAAAATTCTAATAAAATATTTTCATTTCATAGATAAAAAAAAAATTGTTTTTAAAAGGCTGTTTTTACCCGAGAAAAACCCATGTAACCCTTTAATATTGAGTTAGAATCACTAATAATTAAATAAAGGCTATTTCTATATTCAAATAGCTTTGATTGATATTAGAAATTACGTTTGAGTGTGTAGAGGTTGCCATAATTGGGAATAAGAACAGCTTAAAATTATGAAACCATCAATCAAACTTTGGCAAGGCCGAAACTTGATTTTCTAATTAGCTGAGACAAGTTCCACATCCACATACAGAAGRCACCTATGTAAGAAAGTTTCGAAATAGAATAGTTTTCACACAAATTTTGGGGGGCAACAGCAGCTGGATGACAAAATTCTCAAGGGGCGGATATTTGCTGGTGTGTCGTTGGGATCAACTCAAATACAGAGGCATCCATTAGTAAGCAAACTATATATCGCGTTTTATCGGTTACATGCTCTAATAGCTCGCAAGCTATTGTAAGAAATCTTAATTAAATTTAGAAATCTCATTTTAATATCCTCTTAAAGTGTATCCCCTAAAATGGAAGAAATCAAGGCAATACTTTCACTAGTTTAAAGTAAGTTTTTCCAATCCTGAATGCATTTCCCCTGCTTTGATTCTTGCAATTTGTCAGAGTGTAAATGTTCGGTTACTCCCGAACTTAGTCCTCCCTTATTTGTTTTTATATTAGATCATATATATAGTGCATGAATTTATTAATTTGTATTGCGCTTATTGTTTACTGTAARAATTTAAAGAATTTCTGAATTATTAAATCTACTTCGAAAACTTAAATTCAGTTCTCATCTTAAATGTGTGCCATGGAAATCCTTTGAATGTGTATCTATTTATTTTAAGGTATAAGAGCTTCAAGGCTTGAAGAATTGTGCTTAAAAGTCCAGCAATACTTCTGAAAATAGTTAACGAATAGTGCGACCCTCCTAGTTTAAGAGAACAGAAGCTTATATTAAAATATGCACTGAAATAGAAATTCTATGTTTTTCTTTATTTGAAATGTAGTGCATTAAGGGGATTACARAGGCAAGAACAGAAGGAATTTGCTCCATTCAATATGTGACGGATTGACATTTCTGCCGTTTGGGCAAATCCAGTCAACTAATTTGTATGCTGCGCTCATAATACACATTACGATGTATGGCTGGGTGATGCTAATGACCATGCGGATCGCCATTACCCAATATGTGGTGGGCGGGGTTGACGGCACCACACTCACAGTCTGAAAGCTCATTGGATTTCCATGCAAGTCATACGTCACTTCAGCAACCTCAATGACATCTTCAASTTGGTGGATGGAAAAAATCGTTATCATAAAGTACAATAACAATTACAACCACAAGGCTTTGTCATTTTCAGCATCATGTGCAGTGCAGCTTAGTAGTCCAGATAATTGCCAGTTTCCGCATCCATTTCCTTTTCTTTYGGTTTAACTCAGTTTTTTGACAAACCAAGCGTTAACGATTTTTATTATCATTAACTGTCATCAGCAGAATTGGCCGAGCATCGCACCCATTCGCTGTACTAAATGTGGCGCTGATATGTGTGGGGGCAAGTCCATCAAACGTCATCASCAGTTTTGGGTGATGTTTGGGTATCTTCGAGCTGTACAATCCTGTTTTTGGCTCGTCTTGTATGCAAACAGCTTCCAGTTACATCAGTATTCACGACTATCTCTTCTTCTCCTTCTTTCCGCTCTGAATTGCATTCTATATTTGCTTTTAGAAAAAAAAATACATTTCCTTTCCTGTCTTGAACTTGAACTTGACTGATGGCGAAAGAATGTAACTTAAAACAAAACTTTGTAGCAACATGTTGTATGTGTGTATAAAAAAATAAGGTTTTATAATAATTTTCTGTTTAGTGGTAATATAAAAGAAAGAGCTTAAAGGATTTGATAAAATGTTTTTAATGTGCTGGCTTTGAGTATCTATAATAATACCAATCTTCGCAAATGTGGCATTGTTACCACCCACGGAATCGAAAATATTGGAGTTTGAAAAATGTTCATATTTTGTCAGTTCAAAAGCTGTTTCTTGTGTGTGTGAATCTATCTTTCAATTGCTATGGAACTCATAAATGCCACTTTGTGCTAATAATCTTTGRAAATATATTAATTAAAATATTCTTTTCTTTAAATCTTTATATTTTACTCGTATTACTTTTACATAGTCTTGAATCTAGATCTAGACATTTCTTATAACAATAAATTGATAMACAAGGCTAGAATCTTACAGTTACAGGTACCTATGAAAAGAGGTACCTGAAGGCAGGTAAAGGGTTAAAAATTGCGTTAAACATAACACAAAAAAGTAAATAGTTTATTCTTGGAATAGCAAAATGCTTTAATCTTTTTTGTGTTCGCCCCCTTTCTATTGTATACTTGTTTTTTTTTTTGAAAATAGAGTTTTTCAAGGACGTTTTATATGCATCTTTTCTTCGCATTCTTCTGTTTTCTCACTGGGCTCTCGTAAAAAGTATAAAAACCTTYACGGTCGACAAGTTATCGTCATTAGAAAACAAATGCTAAAGTGATATATATTAGAGCCCGCAATAAATATAATACTTTCCGGTGTTTCCAAGTTTCACCCTTCATCTCTACAGACAATCAACTTGCAGCGATACAGAAGCAAAGATGTGCATTGAAAGAGGAGATTATCTCAAGTACCTGTTATACCTCAACGATGATGGAGGAGGTGCGGCCGAAAATCMCTACAAAGATGATAGTGAGGAAGAGATCTGCGTTGAGAATGCGTGTTCGTGTAATATTTGTTTCAACTATTACACAGAGATTATGTTTAAGCAGAGGAAAACCGACGCAGAGAAACTAGTGGAGCAGCTTCTGGCTTTTAGTACACAAGTTGCAATCGAAGAATCAAGAACTGCTCAAATAACTCTTGATAATAAACCTGAAAGGGACTTGCAGCCGGAATCCGACTGTGAGTCGTTGATAAACCATTTTGTGAACTTAAGAATATCTAYACCCAAACATAAAATATATTCAAGAAGTGAATTCGTAACAGATGAACTACACCAGTTAAACGCTCGAGAACCGTCCGTCGGACTTATAGCCTACAGTGAAGAAAATACAGAAGCATACTCAGAATATGTACAAAATAGTGTGAGCTATAGAGAGTTTATTAGAAGTCATTTGATACAATACGATTTTGGTGAACTCGATGATTATTTGCGGAATTATGAAACAGAGTTGCGAGTTATGGCTTTGGAAGAGGAAGTGAGAGCATCTATTCAATCTATTGACAACGAAAAGCCTTTAAATAACTCCAAAGTTGACTTGGAGCTTGGCAAAATTGTGGACTGGTATTCATGGGAAGGTTTTGAATGGAACCAAAGTTTCGATCACRTCGCCACTGCGTCAGAGAGTGAGTTTACCGAAAGGGACATGTCGAAAAACAGCTTCTTCGAGGCTAATGAATTTGGTAAAAGCAATGAATATTTCAAATGGGCTAACCAGTTCGATTCGGATTATTCAAACGTTTCGCAAAATTTACGGCTTCGAAAAAAGCTATCATTTGAACGGGAATGTGATAAAATACAATCTGCCTTTAGAAACATAACACTCGACAGGCCATTGTCACAATCTAGTGTTTGGAGTGGTAGTTTAAATTTCGATGAGGAATCAGATGAGCAGTATCAAGCAGATATATCGTCCAGCTTCGATGACTGCGTAAACGCTGATTTAATAAGTGAAAATAGCCAAAGTAAGCCACAGCATCAGATGAAAACTTTGACAGAAATGTGTAGAAATGTTTTGCTTTTCAACCGATTTAATGAACGAGAAAAGTACAAGGAGAAGTTCGATGTAATACAACGACGAAAGATTGCCGTCGAGTCGGGAGACGTCAGCAACAATTCCACGTACTCTGATTCACATAGTTCCGMCAAAGTTGCCCTTAGGTACAGACAAAACGAGCAGTGGAGAGACAAAGCTCACTTTGAGGAAGTTAGAGTTCCTTATAAGGTAGAATCCAGTCTATCTCATAGGCAAATCTGGACGATTTGTTATGATTCAGATAGCTATAMAATGCCACGCAAATGGAAGAGAAGCCTGCGGCAGGCACAAAGAGGGTCTCGGGAGCAAATCCGGCAATATTTCGAAGAACTGAAAATCAAATTTGGCCATGACATGAACTTATCAACYGCTATTTGTAATAACTGGCAAACGGAATATGATTTTCTAGATTATGATTGCACTCGGCTATACGACGATCAGACCCAAGTGGATTTGTCGACAAGCTCTGACGAAACATTGACATGCTTGTCTTCCTGTTCAGACGTAGATGAACACGCGTATAATAGGAAACCAGAAAAAATTCTCAACAGAAGAAAGCTGATTCCTTATGCAGAAGCTAGACCCACGTCGAAAGCGAAACGAGGGACTAAATTATCGGAATATTCTCAATTAAAGCAGTTTGATTCGGATGAAAGCTTTGAGTTTTCTGGAGGATCAGAACCCATTTGGTGTGCGTAACGCGTTTTTGTTCACCGAATTAATAAAAAAAATATATATAGTATATTAAAAATATGAGTTTTGATTATTTATGTAAAATCTATAATTATATTTATGTATATATAGATGCATAGGTATGATATTTTTGGGGTTTCAGCTTGAGTGAAACAAGCTGTGGATATATTCGAAGTGATTCTTCTCTCGAAATATATATAACTATATATATAGTTATTAGAGACAAATAGAATTATATATGGTGGGTGTATATATTTTTTGGGAAATATAATTAATAAGGATGCCTAGGTTTAGTTTAAATTTATTATTCTTTGATAAATATATGGTGGAATTTTTCGACATATCTAGCTGAAAATAGTATCAGTAACGAGGATAATGAATATTAAGGAAAACTAGGTTTATCCTTTTGTCTTCACTATGCTTATTGTGATTTTAGATTTCTCAATATAACAGAGGTTCATATTTRTACTTCCAGTAGTTTCCCAAAATGAGGCCATAATGTGCTCACATCATTTTACATTTTTACAGTAAAATTTACATGTGAAAACACCAACAAAGTTGTAGYGTTGAAGCAGGGGAGTACGCGTATATCTCATTAAAGTCTTATAACTACTTCTTCAGTGCTATCATATTTTATGCCATAATACAATTTTCTTATTTTCTTGTACTTTTAAAACATATGGCTTAAAATCAATTATAATTTTTTATAGCAAACTATAACAACGTTTTKAATGTAAAAAAGATTTCTTCACTAAGACAGTTTCACAGCATTATTTCGCATACGTCAGAAGGCAGAAGGCGCAGTGTTGCACCATAAGTGCTGCCCGTTTGTTTGGGCATCTGGTATGTTGGGTAGTCGAAATTCCACTTAGTTTTTTATTATATTCATACTAATAATATACATTTTGGCCATTTTTCCACTAGAGACATCAGAGTAAATCGAAATTTCCATAACGGAAGCTAGCGAACCATTGTTGTGCTACGCGAACTGATACAKCATCGTCTCCGTAATCTTCACAGTTTTCATTGGTGGCTTGCGTGACATTCTCCCTTTTTATACATCAATTTCAAAATATAGCGATTTACTTCATTACTTTCACTAATTTTTGAACAGCTGTAACTTTTTCTCAACTTCCCCCGGTTAAATGAAGTTTAAAATTTCACCTTTCCAACACTGTATAGTATGACACAATGTGGTTGGTAGCACTGGAGATATAAATACGACTGCTACGACATCTATTGACAAAATACGAAACAACTCTTTCGACTACCCAACGCTTGGTGCRTGGAAGACAGCTATATTTTCTTGGATTCTACTGCATTTCAATCTTACCAAGTTCTGTTTCAATTATATTATTAGTTTTACTACTATGAATCTCTTCTTACTTGATTTATAAAAGTTTCTTCGATTTTCAAGCATTGCAGAGGAGCCAATCAAACAAACTATACTAGTTGTTCAAACAAATAGGCAGCACTTAACCCTGTATTACTTCCATTCTAAAATAAAAGCGGCAATTTACAGATTTTGTATGGCATATACCCAATAAAGGCGGCGGCAATGTTGATCGTTGAAAAATTCGTTTTTAAYAGCAAGGTAAGAAGTGAAATTGGCTGCAGAAGACGACTAACTGCACTAATTTCAGAATTTAAGTGAGAATTCGAAGCAATGTTGCCGCTTAAATTGCCATGCCGCGACGGCSTTTACGCTGATCGGTAAAAAAGGCGTCGAACATCGCTTTTATTTCGGTGTGCCAGTTAGGGTTTTATAGTCCATAAAAGAAACGTTTGTGTTTAAATTTTTGTCAGCAATTTGTCAGTTGAGTCCTCTTCACAATGTTAAATCTGAATTAAAAAAAACTTGGACTGAAGATACCCGTTAGACCACTTGTAGGGGGAATTCGAGAATTCGAATACTATCTTGCCTGAACTAAACTCGATAATTTTTTTTGTTGCTTTTTATTATTATAAAAAGGGTAGTGAGTGGATAATATTTTAAAGATTTTCTTTGATTCACCTATAATCAGGGAGCCCATTAAATTTGGTGCGACAATGTAAAAGAAACTGCAGAATTGTGTCTTTGCAACCTTTAGGCATTTGCCCACGGTGTGATTTTGATTAAAAAATACAGCGTCTCGGCTAATGTTCTAAATTGTGCTTAGCCTTTTCATTAAGTTCGCTTTTGTTCAACTACTGCAATGCTTTTGCTTTGTTCTGTTTCAGCTTTTTTCGGTTTGATGACAATCGTTTTTATGTTCCTTTTGTGGTTCACTGTTATTTTTTATATTATTTCTCCTGCGGGCATAATCCCTATGATTGATGAGACTCTTTGTACTTGCTATGATTTCATTAAGTTATGTTTTGCACTTTTCTTTATTTTTTTTGCTAACGCATTTATATACATACATACGCTGTAAACATTGTTGTTATGCACATTTGAGGATGAGAGTCCAATGTAATTAATTTTCATTGCATTCGATGAGATTGAGTGACATTTGTGTTGGGCAGACTGCATCGGCAGAATTTTAAGAACGTTTTTCGGTAATTACATTATCATTGAGAACAGGATGTACTACCGCAGACTTTACTTAAAACATAATTTATTTGATTACTATAATTTGTGAAAAATATAATTCTTCTAAAATTTCRAATCGATCCGAGTAAAATTTTAGAAATAGAAAATACGAAATTTTAGGCCACGTCAGCTCTACGGTCCTTAGGTAAGATTGATTCTTTCAAAACTCTATTTTATAAGTCTGTGGAGATGATTTCGTTCAAGTTTTGCACATATGTATCTCTGAAATAACATTATCTAGTSATTGTATGAAGGATTTTTATTATTTTTTCAAGCCAACACAGGGGGAAAATATGTCTGTCAAATGATCAAATGTTAGTTGCATGGTTTTAGGCGCAAATTTTTCTTATTACAATTCCTATCAAGCTGAACAACGATACAGGTGAAGCTAATGAGAAAGTTGATTTTGATAAGATATTTTAAATACTACATATCTGGTTTGACTTTGTACTCATCTTAGCACTAATATGTTTAGCTGTAAGGTGACAAGTGGAGGCATTAACATAAATTACCTGTTATGTGCTGTGGATATTCAGTGCTCTACTCCCTTCATGCGCCAACAACATTGCAATTTAAACCGCTGTAATTCAAACCGATCCAATCTAATCTGTACCCCACTCACTTTATTTGTTGGCCGCATTTTCAGTCCTTTCTCCCCCACTCCGTACTTAAAGTATGTTTCAGCAGCAGCATGACGAGTCGTTGCACATTTCCTATGTCARTTCAGCAGGTGGCGCAGCTGCTGGCACATCAATGTTGGCGTCTGTTCCGGCGGATGCGATGCCGCCACTTGCCACGGTAACGGCCGAGGAGGAGGATGATGAGACCGGCGATGTGGGTGAGAAAGTGTTTGTGTGTGCCGTTGCCAAAGGTGCTTGACTAGTTGCAGCACCATCATCTGCTGTGCACAATGGCTGCGTAGCTGCTCCCACAATTGCGGCAGATGATTCGCCTATGCCGCAGACGGTCCCTGCTGCGTTGTTGCTATTGGTTTTCGAGTTTGTTGCCGTCGATGATGATAATGGTGGTGGTGTGCTCGGTGGCAATGGAGAGTCGGTAACGCTAACGCGTGTTGCTGTTGCCGAAGTGTTGCGTGTTAGGAACCAACAATCCATCGGTGTCGGTTTACCTTTCATGACGACTGGGCCACGGTATTCGAGATTGAATGAATCATCGTGGTTTATCTCCTGGCAGAGCAATCTGTAAATGTGGAAGCAGAATGGGATAGATAAGATATTAGATGGATTCACTGACAGCTGCAGTGATTGTGATTGAGTAATGCAAATGCTTAGGCAAACTGGCGCTTTGTGCACTTCAAATTAAATCCCAGCTGAAAAGCCAAGAAACATGAAAAGAGCTTTTGTGCTCTGTTTCTTACCTCATATCTGAACCGCACGCTATAAAATTTGTATTAAAAGGAAGTGGAAGTGGGTTAACAGCCGCAGCCTAGAAACGCTGAACGCGCCGTTTAAATATGTTATGAATGTCACTTTAGATATCCATTTGAAAGTAGTTCTGTTTGCCCCAGCAGAGCTCATTAATTATACGAATTTCTATATAAATGTGCATTCCTCTGCTGTAACGGTAACACCGATGTCATCATTCTTTGAATGAAATATATGTATGCAAACTTGGCTTAATACTCACTTTGCACATTCGCACTAATATATGCCGGTGCTTATCAACCTAACCATATTCTGGGCACTCGTAGCTTGTGGCACTTGAGTGCCTCGAAGAGTTACGTCCACACACACACATATAAACTCTTACTTACCAGCTGAGTAATGCATGAAACATGTCCTTGGTGATAAGACGATTTATCCAGCTACACGCTTCGGTGGTTTCAGCATTTTCTGCTCTACCACTCTGCTCTAACAGAGTTCACCTTAGAGATTCGTAAATTGTGGCAATGATGCATGTTGGTTGGAACATGCATAGGCTTTTGTGTTACAATGAAATTAATGGCGTAAATGTGGATTAGACAATGGAGGTTCGGGTGGTATGGGACTCCTGATAGAGGTAGTCGTTGCTTTGGGGAACTATTTGATATTTCGATTTCAGTTTGTCGCTAATAAAATTTGTAAATAAATTCATGTGACACCTTAAAATTCCTTCGAAATAAATAAAGATATCCTGTTTTGAAAATGCTAAGACGGTAAGCCCTGTACAAAGACGAGGTGGCTAAAATAAACTCCAATTCCTGATTCAAGTTACTTCAATAAACTACTTACTAAATCAGAAAGGGAAATCAATATATTCAACATTTCCCTTTAAGTGKTTTTGTCCTAATTCCATAATAATACATTTAATGTTTTAGATTTTAGACATCAGTTCAGTGCAAAATTCAAATGCAGGTGCTCTGAAACTCGATGGCTGGACATACATCGATGGTGGTGACATATGAATAATGAATTTACTTTTAGATATTGTTATTTACAAATTTGAAGTATTTCAWTATTTCTTTTCTTAATAATTTAAGTCTCAGTCAAGGCATCATTGTTAAAAAACTAAAAATCTAGGTATGTTCAAAACAAAGAGTATTAAAATTCTAATAATTCTGTTAATTTTATCAAAAAAACTTGGGAAATTTCTCACTGATTCCATAACCTGTTCTCCACGTAATTTTGGCGGCCCAGTTTTTCAAAGGAATAGGAAAAACAAACAAATGCATATCTCTTCGGAATTCCCAAAATTCATCGGTAAAACCTGTCGAGGRATTTTTTGAATCTTTTCAAAGGAGAAAAATTGTGTATTTTAATTAATTGCTAAAGAARACTGTGCGCGGCCTTCGAGAAACCAATAACGTTTACCCGGAGTCAAGAGTGAAGAAAATCTGGGTTTTACGCCGTACAACAGCACAATGCTGCGTGATCCCTTGAAATTGTAGAAACTCCTCTGTTTGTGCACGTCTACCTGCTCGCCTTAGATACATATATTACGTACATATGTATATATACAGACACTTATTCTACGATATTTCTGGTATAAATTGGCTGGATCATTCTCAAGTCGATGTATTCTCTAAACTCTGTCAACTTGAAACAGACCGGAAGATCTTCAGAGTTCTCAATAAAATGCCTTGCGTAAATGATTTCGAGTGCGTGAATCAGCCCAGAAGTGAAGATGCGAAAGAGGGGTCTGCCACGRCACCGCCGCCWCCTCAACCACTGCCGCTCAGACCACCATCAAAACAACCTCCACTAATATGTGCCCCACAAAATGCAGGACCATCAAGATTGCACCAAATCGGTGCCGTTGCTGCTGCCATTGTTGTACGAAACGRAGGCGAAGGAGTTGGAAGCGACTCGGAGGACAGTGATAATTTCGAAGGTTCTGTTTGTACGTATTGCTGTATTAATGTGCCGTTTCGCATTCGAAGAGCCTCAACTCCTGCTGAAATTGGAGGGAATAGTATGATTGATGCGGCGGACGATGCAATGGAGGCTGTACTGGCTCAGCGCTTAGCGAGAGCTGAGAATTTGTTATTGTAGGCGAACGTTTGAACGAATATGAATTGTTGTTGTTAATTAATTAATGATCGGTTATAAACTGTACTGGATTATAATAAGAAAGAAATAAATAAAATMAAATTGTTTATTTGATTTACGTCTGCTCGAATTGAGCCACCATTTCTGGTAAACCGAAAGGGCTAGCAATTTCATGATATCCGTATAACATTTTTAATTGACTGACTCCAACTTTAAGATAGTTATTTCGGAGAAGAACACTGCAGTTATGATGGTATGTATAAGCTAAATCTTTTAACCTAGTTTTTAACTCTGCACAGTACCAAATGAACAGAAAATCCATTACATGGATTAGATTTTAAGGTTCAATTGTGCGTGACAACTCTCTTATAGAAATTGTCGATACCAGAATATACTCTATATGATAATCATGTTTTGCTATTTCCATTCTCTTTATACCGAAAGTATTGCTGTTCAATTAGCTGTGGACTGTGGATAAATGGTACTTCAATGTACTATACCTTTTGACTTCTGTACAAAGGTGCGTTCTTTCAGCGTGAGGACATAAATGACGATCAACGTGGGCCAATCAAAATCCGCGATTACCGGAAAATCCATTGAAACTGTGCGTGAATTCATCAAAATCATCATTGAAATTCATGGAAATGGAACATCTCCAAAACATTGATTTATCGTATTTTGACCGAACATTTGGGCTACAAATAGTGTGTGCACGGTTTGTTCCGCACTAATTGACTGACGACAAAAATTGCTCAGAATTCAACATTCAAAGGACATCATTGTGATCGATTATTTCACTAAAAATCACATTTTAACCATTCCCGTATTTACCTGACGTGCGACTTCTTCCTTTTAGAAAAAGGCTTGCACCGGTAAACGAGTTAAAACACTCGCTGTATATTTTTAATAAAATAAATTGATTCTGAAGAAAACCCCGTTCTGTTGTTTTTTAAGTCCTGTTTACTTTGGAACGCACCTTGTATCACAAATAATGTATTATATGAATCAACAATACTAATACGGTATTGTTTCGTATATAAATATTAATATTTTAACGAGGAAGGCAAATCAAACTTTTATACTTCTCTGGTTTCGAACATAATTTTTTTTTTCAATTTATAAATAGTTTTTTCTTCACTTTTAGATTTTTAACACTTCTTCATTCCGTCAATCGATATGCAACGATTTGATTTGCCATACGTCGTGACCAAATCTATTATATAATCTATTTGGCCACGTCAGCTAGTTTCTGTCCTTCGGGCGCGGCTGGTAGCGATGATCGACGCATCCGAAATGGTAAGCTGAAGGTGATAAAATCGGACACATTTAATTCGCTGTCTCTGCCTGTGTTGCCTTCATAGTAATCAGAATCGGAGTCTGCCTCACTGTGGCTAGTCTCTGCAATGCCGAAGGTTCTGCGGGATTCGGTGGAGTAATTTGGTATGGTTGAGGTGGTAATATGGCAACACCAGCGCTGCTGTTTTGCGAATGTGCCACTTTGCTGAAATAACCCTAATTTATATCAAAAAAATAGGCAGCACTACATACTCTTCTCAACTATTTTCTGACAGTGGAAAGATCTAGCACAAAACAGGTACCACAGAAGGCAGGCAATAAATATTCATGAAGTTCTAGGAAGTCTACTTTTAGAGAGTAGTCTTGTGTGGTGATTGAGACCGCTGAAGTGAATYGCAAAAGTTCGGCTCGCCATTGTTAGGATATTGCACCCTTTTTTAGACAATACCTACGTTGTACGTTTCGTTTTAACAGTTGAAGGCGTGGCGAAAACACGAGAGTTGCTTACGTCACAGTTAGAAGGACATTCATTAATTCATTAATCTTGTTGTTGAAATAAATATTTGAGATTGTCATTAAAGTAGCTGTAAATAKTTTGAAAACATTTGGTTTTACTAAGTTATCGGAAAAGTAGGTGGGTAGTATTTATAGTAGAATGTAATATCTACATAATTTTTTCATTCATTTCAAATTATATCTGGTTACATCGAACGTTTTGAATGGAAACACTGTATTCAGTTCTAACCAACTTAGAAATTAGGATAGTAAAACAATCCACAAATATAAAATACAGCGAAAGCTCTATTAAATGGACGCTCTATTAGTGGACAACTCTATTAATAAAATAAGCAGCAGATTTGTTATGTTTTCGTATGAAATTTATTAGTACGAACATACTCAAAATTTAACCTTAAGTTTTTATATCGTCAAAAACGTTTTCGCATTCATTCGTAAATAAAATTTTCACCGTATTGAATATGAGAATAATAGTATAAAATGTATATAAATATATTTCGTAGAACTATTGACGATTTCTTCGGGATGTTAAAAAATTCGCGGCAAGCTTAATATCCTTGTTGGATATTTGATAATTAATATTCAATTCCATAATTTCTCCCAATACAAGGGTTAATTTTGACGTATTGGAAAAACTTTAATCGACGAATTCATGAATGAAAATTCTTTACAAAACCAAGGATGTCTAAATTCAAAATCTTCTTGTTTAATACATATAATTGTATGATAATTTCGAATTAAAGTTTATATTTTTATAAATTATTCAGCACAATTTTCATGAACATTTTTTAAAGCATGGATTTTGAGTCACATTCAATAAAACAACAATAAATAATAAAAATCTATACATGTATATTCATCCACTCTCCAAGTATTAAAAGTAGCGGGTGCTCTACAAATACATGGATCGACGTGCCATGCGTTGGGTCCACAACTTCCTCATGGCAGCAGTTGCGGCCTCAGTTACTTTTTGTGCTTCAATGACAGCTGGCAAGGATGCCCTACGGGCCCGGAAGGGTATGTCGATACTAAAATAATCACTGTCATCCGATTCTGTGTCGCTCTCGTCGTCATAATCACTATCGCTGTTGTCGATTAGGTCCTCAGCTGCGATGGCTGCGGCAAGATCGGCCAGACATTGCAGAGCTCCACCTGGTCTTGGACAACCGATGATGTTAAGATTACTAGGCATTATGGTGGTGCCTGCTTTAATTTCGTTTTCTTTGTTTTTTAATAACTCAATTTCCGTAACTTCAGTCATAATTATTATAATAGCGATCTTGTCACTTTTTAGTTTAGCAAAATCCGCTAAAGATGTTTACTAGTTTACGATACTTTGACGATTGTGCTGTTGTGCAATTCAACAGTTCAATTTATACTAGCACCAGCACAGTGTTTAGAAATTTTCCTTGCGAACGTGAGAGGTAGCTGATGAGACAGTGTCATCTGAGCAGGTATATTACATCGATTCAAGCTCCTAAAATAAATCTTTTTATATCGAACATTTTTTATTCGTTTTGAATAGGTTATTTTACCTGCTTTTAAAGAACCATTGTTTAAAACACTTTAAATTGATAATCCTCTTTTGAACAGAGATTAAGTAATTTGTGCAATGTACATGATAAATATTGTAACTGAAGCTGAAAGCATTGATAATAAGTAAAAGAGATTTTTGGAGTGACTTAACGGACAGATATATTTAATATAGCCATTTTCGAAAAAGCATCCATAAGCCAACAGTTTCTGTTATTTAGATTTGTAAACTATTTCTAAAGAGCATTGTGATTTTTTAATGCGCGGACAGCTCTCGTACAGCGTTACAGCGTTCATATTTAGACTTCACTTAAATGTTTTTATGTTATGTTTTATTTCTGCAGATGAATAATTAATAATATTCACACATACATACTACTGTWATCAAATTGAATTTTTAATTTATACTTCACGCGTTTTTCGAATCGGTCATTAATATCTATGCTAAACTGCACGTCAAAATATTAATTAGTATTTGAGATACGCGTCGTTTTGTGAGGCTCTAAAAGTGAATTCTTTGATTTTTACTACGTCTGAATTTATTGAAGAAAGAAGTGAGATAATGCACCATCAGGATTTTTCCAAGTGCTATGATGACTGGAAAATTCGTTGGCATAAGTGTATTGCAGCGGGGGGATTACGTTGAAGGAGATGAAATGGGCAAAATTCACCTTTCAATTAGATCATAGTAGTATGTATGTTAGTAACCTTTTATCCATTTACACCCTAAAAACATTAATTCCCATTTTATGGTTATTGAAATCACGGAAATTCCTAACATACATATAACTATCGAGCAAATTATAATAGGATTGGTAAACTTGCAAAGTTTCTCTTCAATTCGTTCGTTTATGTGCGCTCACTGCGAGCAATTATTTSATAAGTTGTCGAAGAGATTCGCGCTCACCTTACATTTAACTAGCCATATGATTTKGACATCAGTAATCGGTGGTGTCTAACTTACTTTGGCTTTGGTTGTGAAGGCGGGCGAATAAAATAGCGGAAAAGTATCGGAAATAAATAAAGTAAAAAGTAAAAGTACTGACTTAAAAAACTAATAATTTTATCTTAGCTATATACTTACGTGTGTAAAGTTGTTGTGAAAATAGTAGAAATACTGTAAAATTGTTCTCTGAATGCCTAACTGTAAGAAGTGGAGTGGAAGTGCGACGCAAGCAAATTGAAATTTCGATATGAAGTTATAAACAAAAGAGTCCCATCATTTCGATCTCTTAACGCTTTGAAACTATAAGTATTAGTAGTTCTAATTGTATTATGTGAAACTGAAATTCGTTTAGGCCGATATTAGGAGCGCTTTTGCTTGGATTGATTTGTTTATACTATTTTGCTTTTCTTATTTCATTACTGCCAGCATTGCCAGCTGAGAAAGTCCAACATGTGTGAATACAGTGAAAGAGAATAAGATGGGGAGAGCGGAGCCTTAAGAGCTTTAGCAAGAACGTGAACAAAAGAGACTGAGAAACTTGTTGATTGTGTATTGAGCCAACGATGTGTATGAGAACCAACGATAACTTTAAAAGATAATTGTAAATRTTTTTAAGAAAGATAAAAGGATAAAGACTTTAATTGTTAAATTAGAGTAATGTTGTGATTAAAAAGTCAAAAATTTCGTGCGGAGTGGAGCGGTTGTGTTCGAAATGAAGCACAGATGATATGATGCGGTGTTTAAGTGAGTCCATTAGCAATTAGCCGATTTGCTAATTAACTAAAGTAAGTATCTTTCTGGAATGGCTGCAACAGCACAAGTATAAATGAAATGAAACCAGCGGACATAATTAGTTTGGCACTKTTTATTAAATAAATATTCTTCCCTTTTTGATACTTCTCACTATGTTGTGGTTTCCAAGAGGTCCTTCAGGAACTCCACTCGACCATTAAAAACTCTTTATTACTCCATTTTATACATACATACCCAAAAGTAATATCTCAATACSACGAGAACACATTAATGACTTAGAGACTTTTGGTACCGTTGCTTTGGCGTTGTTGCGCTCTTTCACTTGAGCTTTTATAGACGGCAGCTTTAGGCGCTCCGCCTGGAAGCATGCTTATACTTTCTGGCAGTCGGTCAGTAGAATTTGACTATTCGTGCATTGTGGAGGGTCTGGTGCGCGCAACTGTGTCATAAGGCGGAAAGCAAACGTGACGATTGTATGTGATACTTCGGGAAGAAAGTAAAAGCGAAAGAACATACGAAAGTCGCAAAGGCCGTAAAGTTGTACGTTGAAAAGGAGCGCAATTTSAACATACTAAGGAGTAATCATTCCTACAGGAGAACACTAAATCTAAGCTTTGGGTRCTTACTCTCCTTTGTTGAATGGACACGCACTTGCCATTRGATGGTTGGGTCGTCAATCACAGGCGGAAGGCAGGCAACAACAACAAATACGGGTATTTAGAGGAAAACGTTTGATATACAATTTAATAATTTGGTAACGTGAAGTCGTTACTTGAATTGCAAATCGCATTGAGTGTTCACAACTATATTTGTTGGAATTTAAAAAGCATTCAGCGCATTTCTTAGGAAGTTATTGCCGGGTTCAATTGCTGCTAATTGAATTACGCCTAGCGTTTTGCTCGCCAAAGCGGCTATGCACTAGCGTCTGCTTCTATGGCTTCATTGGCACTTGGATGGGCGTGTGTTTGGTAGGTAATTGCCGAGTTAAGCCGTAGAGGCCAGCGATAAAACGTTGAAGACTTGCTCACATCGACAGCGAGGGTCCGCTAGATAGGTTGCTGTGAACACTTATTGTGTTTTATTGAAGTATACAGTATTAGTTTGTAGTTAGCTGATTCGAATCTCAAATGGAATACATATTCGAGTGCTTCTTCGAGAATACATTCGATAAAATCACACGCAATGGGCTGCAGGATCGCTCCTCGCGTCGTGACGTACTGGACCACTTGAACGCTGTGATTGGCGGTTGCAGTGATGGTAAGCCTAGCATCCCGAAATGCCTGTCAATTGTCATTACAGTCATTTGTCCCACTCACAGGGCAAAATATGCACACGGAGGAGGTGGCGAGATTCGCTGTGTTGGCCGCAGTGCGTTATCATCGCGAGAARAAGAGCGGAAATGGAGATGTAAGTAAAGGCAGCGTGATGGAAGTGTTCTTGAAAGTTTTTAGATAGGATAGGATAMAGATTTACTATTAGATTTGCATTCTTTTACAGGTCTGCCTCATGGGCAAATTCCACAATATTCTGTACATWGCGCTGCGGACATGCTGGGATTGGGGCGTACGTGATTCCACTGTTGTGGTCCTGTTGTTGGGTAAGTGAACGCTTTACAGCATACGTCGCGTTGTGTCAGAACACACAATTTATAAGTAGCACTCCACCTATCCTATTCMATTGCTGCCTCGAACACCAGCACTCCAAGAAGTCGTTCGTAGAGGCAGAAGTGTCTAAAACGCTTTTGAAATTATTTTGCCGTTTTGTCTGTCGCCTTTGTATGTTGGCTCTAATTAAAATCGCATGTCAAATCCACGCAAGCTCAAATGTACATGTGTGAGTTTATGCTTAAATGGAATGTTTTTCAGTGTCAACATTGAACACAAACATAGAAAAAGAAACATGAAAATAAATATTGTAGTAGATTGTCAGTGACACAGCTTTTGCGGTAACCAGCCTCCTCAAATGAACACAGCAACAACAACATTCATTTAGCGGAAAGCGGAAAACGAGCTTRTTTTAGGCATTGGGTGGATTAATGCTTATGTTTGCGTAGAAATTACAAAATCTGTGTTGGAAGTGCTTTTAGCAAAATTAAAAAGACAAATGCTCGAGCTGAGCGGGACGAGGCACATTTGCCACACGTCCGACCAGTGTGTGTAAAAGAAGTCACTATCAGATGAGCCGCTTTCCCGGCTGGCTTTCACTCTTCTGAGTCGTAGACATTTTCGCGTTCTAATATTTAATGAGTTTCGGGTCGGCAAGTATTCCTGTTTTAGTTTTGCAGATGACAACCGGATTAATTAGAGTTAATAATGAAACAAACACATGAATGGCTTCAGTTCTCGGTTTTGCTGTACTTCTTGGTTTAAGAAATAAGCGCTTTAATTACTCAAACTTTGCTAAATAATTTAAAGTAAATTTACGGAACACGTTTCATAATTTTTAGTAATCATAGTTGTAAATAATCGAAATATATAAARGTTTTCATATTTGCAACTACTTAGAAATGACCGTCTCTTTGTTCGCATGCCAAGAAACGGAGAAGTTGGGAGAGTTTTTGACTGAGGAACCGTGGCATTTAAGGTTAGTTGGGATTGCAAATAAGCCCAAGCGGACGCTCAAAGGGTGACATGTGAAGGAATATGGCTTTTAAGGTGCTGTGCTGTTGCATGGACTACAGATAATCAGCCAACTTTTCATGTTCCGCAATTTGAATGTTGGTACCTAAGTGATCTCTTCTAAGGAGTTTCCAAGTTTGTTTAATGTTATTAACTGTGGCATTTCTATAATACAAAAATCAGTTCTCTTATCTAATTATACTTAAGCTGAACTAATTTCCCAGCCTTTTAAAAAAATAAAGCTTCAACATATTGAGTTTTCTCGAAAATGCTTGTTGWAAAATGTTCTAATATAATATTTAACGATCGATATGAAAGGGAAAAGACCTCGCTGGTTTCATCAATGCAATTTTTTGCGTGTAAAATCCGTTAGATGCCAAAGTGGACAAGAGAGCAAAGAGCAAAGACGGGGGAGCAAATTCTAATTGCCATAATCTAGGTTAGAGCATATTTGGTAAATAGGCAGAGAGTATTGGGGGGGATGGATGTGGCATAGGGTAGCTGCTGCTGCATTCAAAAGAGCAACACACATTGAGCCATTACGGAGTGATAATAAAGAGAATGCTGGCTTGTCGTTGCAATGTGTGCACCAGAGTGCATGCATATGTGCCACAATGCCCGGTTGGGTGTGTGCGTGCAACAAGTGCGTTCTGCAATATTGGCTTATTTAATGCAATCATTTCCGACAGCGCGATGTTTCAGCGCTTTAGTGCCTCACTGCACCAACCAGGAAGTTTGCTTGCCCTGCATGTGCCATTGCAAACGGTATGAATCCATGGCGTGCTTTCAGAGACTTGCACAGTACGTCCGCTCGCCAAAATAGGCACCACAGTGTGTACTTTTACACCGAAATGCATATTTGCGAGGTCCTCATGGCAGTTGGCTTATGCAGAGGCGAGTGTGTGTGTRTRTGCGAAGAGTGTACAAATTTTACAGGCTTTCTATGCGAATGCATTGGTATTTCAGCCATTTGGCATGAAACGGTGCAGGACTCATACCAGCGTTGGGGGGGCAGCAAGTTGCTGTGGTAGCGTGTGCGTTGTTTACGGTTATTGCATTGCCAATTGTGCAAATTAAATTGCCAAACTGGCACACGTTTGCATAACGCAGCCGTCACTAGGCKAGTGCCAGCAAACTTCGCTCCGGAAACAATTTAATTTATGCCGACTAGGCGTATGGGAAGCAAGCATATTAAAACGAGTCATATGGCCATGGCTGGCTGSTTGTGTAGTGCAAATGTGCTTAGCATTTAAGAGTTTTGGGTTTTAAGGCATTAAGTGATTTTACTAAAGTGGTGGTGATGCAACACCTGGCAACCATTTTGTTTGGGAGTAAAAATAAGGTAACTTAATTGAAAGTGAAACCCAGGATTTGGTTCATTTCATATTAAAGTATAATAATTATTAATTTAATTAATATGAACACCTCTCTTGGTGTTACCTTTCCGCTTATTTCAATAATCATGTCATACAAGCAATGCTGAAAACTTTTTCTAATTTCTAATTTCTGATTTCCAATTTTCGTTTTTTCTCTTTCATTTTCAGAAGAGATCTATTCGTGCGAGAAAACATTTGAACGGATATTTTTGGGCGCCTTATTCGGTCCCCATGCACCACACTTCATAGCCGGTTGGCGCAGCGACTTTCGCGACCAGGTTAAGCGGATTAGTTGCACTCTTTTCGAGGCACATAAACCCTCCCTGCTTTTAATCCTTTACCGTTTGTTTTTGCATTTGCTTTCGCTGGCAGTTTTCTTTAAAATTTTGCTTAAACCTGAAACTTTCTATTTTCAACTTTCCTATTAGTATTTGGTTCATTTCAAATTCGTTCGTATGATTATGTAAAAACTTTCTGAT